GAGAGGGAGAAGCAGGCTTCCCCGGAGCAGGGAGCACGATGCGGGGCTCGATCCCAGGACCCTGGGACCATGACCTGAGCCGACGGCAGACGCTTAACGACTGAGTCACCCAAGCGCCCCTAAATAAATCTTTAAAAAACTTTTTTTTTTTTAATTTTAGTACTGGAAAATTACAAACCGAATATAGTAGGGGTGGGTTTGAGCTCCATAAGGATCGGGGAGTTTTGTTCCGATAACAGGCCCATTGGTCAGTCCTGCCTGTCACAGATTCCTCTGCCCAGGCCTAGGTCTAGATGTAAGACAGTCCTCACTACCATAGCTGAGATACTTATTCAAGAGACAGATTCCCAGGGTTTCATCCCAAGCCTCTTGTGTCAGAAGTTTCAGGGGTGTGGCCCAGAAAACTGTAGGCTTAACAAGGGCCCCCCCATGATTCATATTGTCAGGGAAGTTTGGGAAACACCAGGCCCAGTTTTTCTCTGAGGGTCGTGAGAAGGGCATCAGAATCATGGAGAAGACCTTCTCAAATGCAGATTCCTGGGCCCCCCAGGACCTACTGAATCAGAATTTCTGGAAGCAGGCCCTGGGATATGCATTTTTACAAGCACCCAAAGTGATGTCTATGGGCTGATGTTTACTCACCCACCCTCCTGCAGCATGAGCTACTTGGTCACGAGGGGGCAGGGTCAAACTGGTGGTCACAGTCCGCTTTAGTGACAGGAGTGAGGGAGATGATTAGAATGCGTAGCCTTGGGGTGCCTGGGTGGCTCAGTCAGTTGGGCGTCTGCCTTAGGCTCAGGTCGTGATCTCAGGGTCCTGGGATCGAGCCCTGCGGTGGGCTTCCCGCTCAGCAGGAAGTCTGCTTCTCCCTCTCCCACTCCCTCTGCCCTTCCTCCTGCTCATGCGTGCTCTCTCTCAAACAAATAAATAAAATCTTTTTAAAAAAATGCGTAGTCTTCCGGGCGCCTGGGTGGCTCAGTTGGTTAGGCGGCTGCCTTCGGCTCGGGTCATGATCCTGGAGTCCCGGGATCGAGTCCCGCATCGGGCTCCCTGCTCGGCAGGAGTCTGCTTCTCCCTCTGACCCTCCCCTCTCTCATGCTCTCTGTCTCATTCTCTCTCTCAAATAAATAAATAAAATCTTTAAGAAAAAAAAAAAAAAACGCGTAGTCTTCTTCTCTAGGCAGCCAAGCAACATGAGCCCCTCTACCCCACATGGCGCTACGCTGTAGAGCTCTCTTAAGTCGGTACTCCCCTCCCTCCTGCAGCAGCCCTATGTTCTGACAGAGGGCTCCTCGCTCTCTCCTCTGTCCTTGCACGCGGTGGCATCAAAGCTTTTCCAAGGTCTTTGTTTTCAGATCTTCTCAGTCCCCACTGTCCTGTTGGTTCTGTCCCTTCAGTGCCTGTCATGACAGGGCCAGCTTTGGGGACAAGCGACCTGGGCCGAGGCCAGGCTGGCACTGAATGAAACGTGTGGAAATCAACCTCTCACAGCTGACATGGTTCCACTTCTGGGACCCGCGTTAATGACTCTCAATTGTAGCCATCCGTGGAAGACAAGCAAAGTACCCCCAAAGCAGTGTGGACACACACGGTGGTCATAACAGAATCACACATTGCCGGGGGGCGGGGGGGTTTGTGTGTGTCACATTTTGACTGAGGTCAGTCTTTTTTTTTTTTAAGGTTTTATTTATTTATTTGACAGAGAGAGACACAGCGACAGCAGGAACACAAGCAGGGGGAGTGGGAGAGGGAGAAGCAGGCCTCCCGCTGAGCAGGGAGCCCGACGCGGGGTTCGATCCCAGGACCCCGGGATCATGACCTGAGCCGAAGGCAGACGCTTAATGACTGAGCCACCCAGGCGCCCCTGACTGAGGTCAGTCTCAATTGTTCACTTACCTGTATGTCTTTTATCAATCCAGCCATCCACCCACCTCCCCGACATTCCAGAAATATATACACGCGGTGCCGGCCGGCGAAACAAGCACATGAAAGGAATATGGGGGGGCCTACCTAGTCCCTCTCACATCCTTTTGGGCCGGAGATCAGGCCGCGGCTATACGCTTCCCGACTCAGGTCTCTCGCGGCACTACTGTGGCTCCTGCTGGGCCTCGGATCCAGTCGGGCTGGGGTGGCAACCACCAGCAGATCACTGGGAGACACGTCGCGGCTGGAAGGACCGTGCAGGAGCAGGACGGAGGACAGACGCAGCTGCCTCTTCTCGCCGGAGCTTCGGCTGCTGCAGGAGCACTCCCAGGGCAGGCAGCGGGTTTCTGGAAAGGCGAAATCATTGGCATCATCCCTTTGTGCTGCAGGGCGAGGAGCCCATTGCCAGCGGAGGCCACCTCCCGCCGGGGTCCGCTGGCTTCAGGCCAGCTCAAGTTCCTGACCCGGAACCCGCCTCTGGTCCTCTCCTGCAAGTGGCTTCTCTTCCCTGTTGTCATATTTCATGCCCCTCCACTGATAGGCTCAGCTGAATGCGCCTCACCTGAACGGACAACCAGGAATTGTCGAACAGGGTGCTTGTCAAAAGTGTTCTGTTTTTACCTTTTTTTGTATTTTCAATAAGACCAGAGACTCCCTAAGGATGTGGACTATGTCTCCACCACCAGGCGGGGGTGGGGGTGGGGTGTCTCCCTGAGGGCGGGGGCCGCATCCCCCACCGCCACCCCAGACTGGGCCCTCCTCCAAGACGAGGACCGCTTCTGTTAGCGACTCCGTCCCCTAAGCTCTTGGCACAAGCCTGGACCCACTGGCACTCACGTGACTTGTGATTCGGCCCCAGCTTTGGGTTGTAGTAAGCTGGGAACAGGGCGAGCTTCTCCCTCAGTGGAACCTTGGTGAACAGCTCTGACATCAGAGGCTGCTTCGTCGTCTCATTCTGCGGCGCAGTCCAGCTTGGCTTCAGACTTCCTAAGAAGCTCTGGGATCTTGTTGGAAGAGAAATTTTTGATACTTTCCCCTGGATGAGGTCCTGGGGGAGGGGGTGCTGCTTGTATTTAAAGACCACCGTATCCACCTCGGGGCTACTGCTTCCAGAGCTGGTTATCCCGGTCCCGCTCGGCAGAGACTCTGGGGAGTCTGAGACCTGAGTGGCAGGATCTGGGCAGGTTTCTAGTGAGGTTAAGGGCTGGAGGAGAAAACAGTCCATAATGAGATTGTGGAAGCCTAGGGCTCCTTCCCGTGCCTTCTTGATTTAAACAAACAAAGTAAGCCAAGCTCATCAGCAGCAAGAAAGATTAGAATAGTTTCCTAACCAGGAATTGGCTAAACACTAGGGCAGAGGATGGTGGGTATGTCCACAGAGCTTCCGCTGGGTTTTTGTTTTTGTTTTTAACAAAAGAGAGATTTTAAACACTAGAAATTGGCCGTCAGAAAAATAGGCATTATTTCCCAGCTATTAGACTGGCAAAAATTAGAAAGCAGCTGGTGGGATGGGGCACTCTAGGGACCCTCATGCACTGCGGATGAGAATGTAGACTGGTACAGACATTCTGGTGAACCATCTGGAAACACTCAGTTAAATAATATTACAAATACTCTGTGTCCCAGCATTTCTGCTTCTAGGTATACATACTAAATGAGTTATTAGATAACTCCTTTTTAAAAAGTAGGTACACCAATGTTCCCAGCAACATTATTCACAATAGCCAAAAGGTGGATATAACCCACATGTCCACCAACAGATGAATGGATGGAATACTAGTCAGCCTTAAAAAGGAAGGAAATTCTGATATATACTACAACATGAGTGAACTTTGACGAGATCGGGCGCGTTCAGGGTGGTATGGCCTCAGACAACATGAGTGAACTTTGAAACTTTATGCTAAGTGAAATAAGCCAGACACAACAGTACAAATGTTGTATGATTCTACTTATCTGAGGTACCTAGAGTAGTCATAGAGACAGTAAAACAGAGAGGAATGAATAAGGCAGAAAAAATATTTGAAGAAATATTTAAGAAATAATAGCCATAAACTTCTCCAATTTGGTGAAAGACATCAATTTATAAAACCAACAAGCTCAAGAATCCTAAGTAGAATAAGTACAAATAAAATCACACCCAGATGGGGTACCTGGCTGGCTCAGTTGGAAGAGCGTGCGATTCCTGATCTCTGGGTTGTGAGTTTGAGCCCCACATTGGGTATGGAGATTACTTTAAAAAAAATAAAATCTTAAAAAGGAAATGCCACCCAGACACATCATAGTCAAATTGCTGAAGTCCAGAGATAAAGAGAAGAGCTAGAGAAAAATGACACATTACATATAGGGGACAATGTTATGAATACAGCTGACGTCTCACTAAAAAAGAAAAAGAACACCAGAAGATAATGGAACATTTTTTAAGTGCTGCAAGAAAAAAAAAAAATGTCAACCCAGAATTCTAGGTCCAACAAAAATAGCCTTCAAAATGAAAGCTAAATAAAGACATTTTCAGATAAACAAAAACAGAAAATTCATCACCAGCAGAGAGATCTGCACTACAGTAAATGCTAAAGAGAGTTTTTCAGGCTAAAGAGACATGACATCAGATGATATATATACATACAAATACATATGTTACATATATACATATATATTTTTTAAATATCTTTCCTCTTGGGGCGCCTGGGTGGCGCAGTCAGTTAAGCATCTGACTCTTGGTTTCAGCTCAGGTCATGATCTCGTTGTTGTGGGATTGAGTCCTGCGTTGGGCTCCGTGCTCAGGGGGAAGTCTGCTGGAGATTCTCTCTCCCTCTCTCTCTGTCCCTCCCCTCCCCCACTCATGCCTCTCTCTCTCTCTTTCTCTATTTTTCGCTCTCTCAAATAAATAAATCTTTAAAAAAATATTTTAAAAAAGAAAAATAGGCAAGTTTCCAGAGTATATGAAGAATTCCTACAACTCAATAATAAAAAGATAAATAATCCTAATTTTTAAAAGAGAGGGAAGCAAAAACTTGACATACTCTTCACAAAGGAAGACATATGAATGGGGGAGGCTGGGTGGCACAGCTGGTTATGTGTCTGACTCTTGGTTTCAGCTCAGGTCATGATCTCAGGGACGTGAGGTTGAGCCCTGTGTCCAATTTTGCTCTCAGCTAGGAGTCTGCTTGAGATTCTCTCTCCCTCTGCCCCTCCTTCTCATGCTCTCTCTCTCAAATAAATAAATAAAATCTTTAAAAATAAAAGGGTGGGGTGGC